GAGAAATCACATTGGAGCTTAAAACAAAAACAAAACAAACAAAAAACCCTTAGTACCAAAAAACAGAAATTCAATTTAAAATCTTAGAATGTAGTAAACAGGAACTTAGCAAAATTTAGGCTAGGGGCAGTGGCTCAAACCTGTAACCCCGGCACTTTGGGATGCTGAGGTAGGCAGATTGCTTTAGTCCAGGAGTTTGAGATCAGCCTGGGCAACATGGCAAAACCTCATCTCTAAAAAAAATACAAAAAATTAGCTGGGCGTGGTGGTGTGTGTCAGTGGTCACACACCTGGAAGGCTCAGATGGGAGGACTACTGGCAGTGAGGTTGCAGTGAGCCATGATTACCCCACTGCACTCCATCCTGGGAAACAGAGTAAGGCTGTGTCTTCAAAAAAAAAAAAGAAAAAGAAAGAAAAAATTTATAACCTTAAACAATTATTTTAGACAAGAAAGAAAGAAAATTAATAATCTCCACATTTAACTAAAGATTATTAAGGAGTGAAAAAGGGGAATGAATCCAAACAAAGAAGCAAGGCAATATAAAGATGAGAACAAAATAATTAAGCAGAAAAAAGATATAACAGATAAGACGAACATACTTCAAAAGGTAATTCTTCAGAAAAAAAATTAAATGAAAAATTACTTTCAAGATTAATCAAGAAAAAGATATAGCAAATAATTACCAATTTTAATTTTTATAATTTATTTTATTTTTCATTATTGTTTGTTTTATTTTTTACTTTTAAAAAAATTTTTTGAGACAGGATTTTGCCCTGTCCCCTAGGCTAGAGTGCAATCATGTGACCACGGCTCACTGCGGCCTTCCCTGGCTCAAGCGATCCTCCCACCTCAGCCTCCCAAGTAGCTGGGACTACAGGTGCACACCACCACACCCAGCTAATATTTTATATTTTGTAGAGACAGGGTCTTGCCAGGTTGCCCAGGCTGGTCTTGGAACTTCTGAGCTAAAGCAATCCTCCTACTTAGACCTCCTAAAGTGCTGGAATTACAGGCATGAGCTACCAGGCCTGGCCATAATTCAGAATGAAAAAGAACCACTATGAATGGAGCAGAGATGATTAAAGTTAAGAGAAATGGTTGAGCGTGGTGGCTCAGGCCTGTAATCCTAGCACTGAGGGGCTGAGGTGTGCAGACTGCCTGAACTCAAGAGTTCAAGACCAGTCTGGGCAACATGGTAAGACCTGTCTCTACTACAAAAATATATAAAAATTCAGCCAGGCATAGTGGCACATGCCTGTAATTCCAGCTACTTGGGAGGCTGAGGCACAAGAATCACTTGAATCTGGGAGGTGGAAGTTGCAGTGAGCTGAGGTCGCATCACTTCACTCCAGCCTGGGTGACAGAGCGAGACTGTTTCCAAAAAAAAAAAAAGAATACACAAACAAGTTTATGCCAACAAATGTAAAAACTTAGGTGATATTAATATTCCTAGAAGAGTCAATGACCAAAAATGACTCTAGAAGAAATAGAAAATCAGAATGATTCAATAACTATTAAAGAACTAAATCAGTATTTTAAATTTTTCCCACATAGAAAACACAGGCCCACAATGACTTCATAGGGTAGCTTGACTAAAGACTGAAGGAACTGATAATTTCTTTCTTTCTTTTATTTATTTATTTATTTATTTTTTGAGACAGAGTCTCGCTCTGTCGCCCAGGCTGGAGTGCAGTGGCGCCATCTTGGCTCACTGCAACCTCCACCTCCCGGGTTCAAGGGATTCTCGTGCCTTGGCCTCTGGAGTAGCTGGGATTACAGGTGCATGCCACCACACCCAGTTAATTTTTGTATGTTTAATAGAGATGGGGTTTCACCATGTTGGTCAGGCTGGTCTTGAACTCCTGACCTTGTGATCTGCCCACCTTGGCTTCCCAAAGTGCTAGGATTACAGGCATGAGCCACCGTGCCCGGCTGATAATTTCTTTTTTTATACAAACTCTCAGAGAACTTAAAAGAATACATGCTCCTACTAATCATTTTAGTAGTTTACCATAACCAAAGCCAGATTGGACAGTATATAAATGAAAATTTCTAGGCAAATCTCACTCATGACCATGGATGGAAAAATCCTAAAAGAAATACCAGCAATGGGCCCAGAAAAAAAAAAAAAAAATGACCAAATAAATTGCATTCCAGTAAGTCAAGATTGGTTCAACATTCTGAAATCTATTAATATAATTTACTACATTAAGGGATTCAAGGAGAAAAAAATTTATACATGCACACACTTCTTTCACTAGAGATTAGTAATACATCTGATTAAATTCAATGCCCATGACATTCATGGTAAAAATTCTTAGCAAAGCAGGAATGAAAGAGAGTATTTCCTTAACCTGACTGAAGCCACCTTTGCAAAACTTATTAACAGTGAGAAAACTATTGCAGTGAAAGAGATCTGACCTAACCAACTCCATCTTGCCTTTAACCTCCAATACCTTGGCCTTGTTCATCCTTGTGCATAGGCCAAGCTGACAATAGGAGGAATTTAGTTTATAGTTAAACTTTGGAACAAAGATGGCAATAGCTCTTTTCCAAAACAAACCCCCTACTTGCCTGGGGACCAGACCATCTTTGCAAAACCAACAAATTAGCCACAAGATTAGAAATTACGGTTTAGGAGTCATGCAGTCAGAAGCCACAAGATTCCTAACCTCCTCAGTTGCTTCCATGTATAATGTTACTATTATAAAAACTAGTATTTAAGGTATTTTCCAGACTCTGCGTTCTGATGGATCAGCCAACGTACCCAGACTGGTAAGTTTATCTGGTCTTCTGCCTCGCCTCCCCCAAGGAACTGACTCAGCGCAAGAGGACAGTTTTGGACTCCCTATGATTTCATCACCAACCAAACCAATCAGCATTCCCTATTCCCTAGCCCCCAAACTATCTTTGAAAGAAGACCCTAGCCTCCAAATTTTCAAGGAGGCTAATTGGAGTAATAATAAAACTCCAATCTCCCATTTAGTCAGCTCTGTATGCATTGGGCTCTTTCTCTACTGCAATTCCCCTGTCTTGATAAATCGACTGTATTTGGGCAGTGGGTAAGATGAACCCATCAGACAGTTACATGACAGATTATCTACAAATACCTACAGTACACATCATATTCAATGATGAAATATGAAAAGCTTTTCCTTAAATATCAGGAAGAAAAATGACAAGAATGTTAGCTATCATTAGTTCTATTAAACACAGTGCTGGAGGTCTTAGCAGATACAATAAAATGAGAAAAAGAAAGATTGGAAAGGGAAAAAGAAAACTACCTTATTGCAAAGTGTTTATTATTTATTATATGTATAGAAAATCCAAAAATAAAAATCTACATAGAATAAGAATTCAAGATTCATATTCTTATTAAAAATATCATGTATATATATGGAGCATACACACAAAGACACTAAAAGGTTCTATATGAAATAAGATTTATCTTTAGGTTGTAGGTTTATATTTTTATTTTTTTGTTTCACCATTATGGTTTTTCCAGTATTCTCCACTAGATTATTATATGTTTTAAAAGAATAATGTTACAAGATGTCAAATAAATATATAAAAGTCAATTTTGTGTCTACATACTAGAAACAAACAGAAAACACAATTTAAAGAGGTATCATTAAATAGCAAAATAAAATACCTAGGAATAAATCAAGATTTCAATATATTTTTTTTAAAAATTATAGGCTGGGCGCAGTGGCTCACGCCTGTAATTCTAGCACTTTGGGAGGCCAAGGCAGGTAGATCATAAGGTCAAGTGTTCGAGACCATCCTGGACAACATGGTGAAACCTTGTCTCTATTAAAAATACAGAAATTAGCTGGGCATGGTGGCACATGCCTGTAATCCCAGCAACTTGGGAGGCTGAGGCAGGAGAATCCCTTGAACCTAGGAGGTGGAGGTTGCAGTGAGCCAAGATCGCGCCACTGCACTCTGGTCTGGTGACAAAAAAAAAAAAAAAGAAAAAGAAAAGAAAGAAAATTATAAAAATTAAAAGAAATTAAAAAATTTAATAAATTTAAAAAATCATATTAATGGTTTAAAAGTCTCAACATCCAAAAGATGTAACTTCTTTCTATGTGAATCTATAGATTCAAAACAATTCCAACCAAAATCCCAAAAGAAAGTTTTGTGGAATTTAATAATCTGATTCTAAATGGATACAGAAAAGAAAAATGATATAAATCATTAAGACATGTCTAAGAAGAAGAAACATATAAAAGAAAGTGCTCTATCAGGAAACAAGATTGATTACTAGGCTTTAATAATTAAGTCAGTGCAGCATTTGTACTGGGATAGACAAGTTGATCAAATGGAACAAAGAGAAAGCTCAGAAACAGACTCCCCCTTGTAACCTGAGATACAGCAGAGTTGCACTGCAAATCAGTGGGTAAAGGAGGTCTATTTTAAAACAGTGGGACAGCAATTCCCCAAGAGAACAATAAGTTCTCTTGATGGGAAAAAATGAAAATTCATCCTTACTGGACACCACATCTTAAAATAATTTTTAGGTCAACAGATTCTACTTCAATAGAGGTGGGCAAACAAGAATGGAGGATTCATTCTGATTGACAGGGAGGATAGTTTTCTCAGGAGAGATGACCTTTGATGTGGTCCTTGAAGAATGAAAAGGATTCTTATGGGAGAGCAATGTGGGAAATGGACTTCCAGGCGAGAGCAGCCAGATCAAAGTCTCAGTGTGAGAGGCACGTTCTGGGAATGGACAAACAACCAGCCTGTCTGAACGGGAAAGAAAGCTATAGACGTTGATGGCTGGCTGGCCGTTTATAGTATTTTTGAATCTACGCTGCACCACGTTTCGGTTCTCCATCCTGGTAAGAACCAGTTATATTCGCAGGAAAAAAATAAATACATATAGTGCTTCTACAACGCTGACACTCATCAAAAAGCCACTTTTATTAGAGTTCAGATATGGAAAAAATAAAATCAAAAACATTTTTTAAAGCCTTGAGAAGTTCAAGTTACCTTTTCTTTCTTTTCTTGGGTGTCCTGGTTCTGGTTACTGGTGATTTTGTTGGCCTTGTTATGTACATTAGGAATGACCTATGGCGACAAAAAAAAGGGGTGGAGGGAAGAAAATATTTAAATGATATAATCATCACATTTTTTTTTCTCTGACATTCCAGAATGGAGAATTTTTTTTCAATCATTACATTTCTTTTTTTCTTTCTTTCTTTTTTTTTTTGTCTGAGATGGAGATTCGCTCTTGTCGCCTAGGCTGGAGTACAATGGCACGATCTCTGCTCACTGCAACCTCTGCCTCCTGGGTTCAAGCACTTCTCCAGCTGACTAGCTGTGATAAGAGGCACCTGCCACCATGCCCAGCTAATTTTTGTATTTTTTGTAGAGACGGAATTTCACCATGTTGGCCAGGCTGCTCTTGAACACCTGACCTCAGATGATCTGCACACCTCAGCCTCCCAAAGTGCTGGGATTACAGACATGAGCCACTGTGCCTGGCCTATCATTACATTCCTAAATGTATTTGTTTAAACAGCTAAAATCTTAACTTTGTAACTTCATCTAAAAGGTAAAAATATGAGAAGTACAATTCAAAGCAAACAATAAAACTTGGAAAATCTGACAAGATACATAACTCTAAAATATTATAAAGTTATATATATGCCATCGGGGCATAAAAATGCAGGTTTCTATATGTAGATCTAGAAGCTGAAGATGAAAGAGACTAAAAACAAGGTCACATACTAACTGTCATCCAAACATCACATTTTGCAAGACAGAGTTTTAGGGGTGATCTAATTAATTATCCAAGAACATAGGATAACACATTTGTTTGGCAGATTTACCTTATTCATCATTGTACCCCCAGTTCAAGTATGTTATCTCCCACACTGTGTGTGCTCAATAAATATTCCACTATCACTATTAGCATAAGGATGAATTAACAAATCTATTCCCACCACTGAATAAGCTCAATGAGAGCAGAATTCAATGTTATTTTTCACTATTTCTCTAGTGTTCAGAAACGGCCTAATACATAGTTGTACATAATAAATGTTTATAAATAAATGAACCAGTTTAATTTTATAAAAAGAGGCTCCTCAAAGAGCTAGCACAGATAATCTTGGCATAAAATCTGGTGAGAGACATGAAGATTAAAAGAAAAAAATAGACCAAGTACAGCGGCTCATATCTGTAATCCCAGCACTTTGAGAGGCCAAGGCAGCAGGATCGCAGGAGTCCAGGAGTTTGAGACCAGCCTGGGCAACAGAGGGAGACTCCATCTCTACAAAAATTTTAAAATTAGCTGGGTATGGTGGCATGTGTCTATAATCCCAGCTACTTGTGGGGCTGAGGTCGAGGCTACAGTGAGCCACAATTGCACCACTGAACACCAGCCTGGGTTACAGGGCAAGACAAGACCCTGATTCAAAAAATACATAAATAAATTAAAAAGAAAAAAAAAACAACTCCTTGCTCAGAAAACTAAAAGACTGCCTGCCTAGAGATAATTAAAAACAAAAAGCCCATTTTCCCCTAAATGCAATTTAAGATTAAATTTTCATTTTTAATACAGAATGTAAAAAGTTTAGAATAAATGAGAAAGTCTCAGAAATGTGTCATTTACATAAAAAACAACAGTAATGATACATTAATATATATACAGTGCTATGTGAAGAGGCACTGTGCTAGTACCTAATATTTCTACATCTGTTTAATACATATAACAACCTAAGTCAGATTTCAAAGACTGGTGGGGTTTACAGGCAGGTGTTCCTTGTCCTGAAGAATCTTGAACAAAACACTGCCTCCCTGACAAATCAGAAACTACCTGCCCACACTACTACTTTCTCCCATGGAAAAACTAGCTGATGCTAAATAGAAGCTTTGGGATGAGACAGAATGTCAGTTGCCACTATAATGTTTCTCTTTCTTTTCTTTTCTTTTTTTTTTTTTTTTTTTTTTGAGACAAAGTCTGGCTGTGTCGCCCAGGCTGGAGTGCAGTGGCGCGATCTCAGCTCACTGCAACCTCCGTCTCCTGGGTTCAAGCAATTCTTGTGCCTCAGCCTCCCAAAAGTAGCTGGGATTACAAGTGTGTACCACCACATCCGGCTGCTTTTTCTATTTTTAGTACAGACGGGGTTTCGCCATGTTGACCAGGCTGGTCTCTAACTCCTGACTTCAAGTGATCCTCTCACCTCAGCCTCCCAAAGTGCTGGGATTATAGGCGTGAGGCACCACGCCTGGCCCATTGTTTTTCAAATAGCAGAGAAATGTTCTTCTGTACATATATCTGTAGCAAAATTTAGAAGACAAAATGTTCAATAAGACTCCACCTTTCAGGAAAACAGACGATTGTATTTCTTGTGAAAGTAAAAATATATTTATAGGTGATTAATATGCAAAATGTTCATGTGTCAAAAAAAGTAGGTACCCTTATGGAACAATGGTATTGGTAAGTACAATTGGAATATAGGAAGAAAGAAAGCAACATGTGATGATAAACATAATGAGCTGAAGATATGAAGAGACTAAAAACAAGGTCACATACTAACTGTCATTTAATATGAAATATGTATATATGATATTTCTGTGAAATGCAGTTATGTTATTAAGTGGAAAAAATTACCTTACAGAAAAACGTTGTATAGGCCTTACTCTCAAATAAATATTTGCCAAGTACATCCAAGTAGATACACACATTTTTCCAGAAGGCTGAAAATGTGCTTGAGAAAGTCAGGGTGAGAAGATTTAAAAGGTGTATTGGTGGCTGGGCGTGGTGGCTCACGCCTGTAATCCCAGCACTCTGGGAGGCCGAGGCAGGTGGATCATGAGGTCAGGAGTTCGAAACCAGCCTGACCAACATGGTGAAACCCTGTTTCTACTAAAAATACAAAAATCAGCCGGGTATGGTGATGCATGCCTGTAATCCTAGCTATTCAAGAGGCTTAGGCAGAAGAGTCGCTTGAACCCAGGAGGCAGAGGTTGCAATGAGCCGAAATTGTGCCACTGCACTCCAGCCTGGGCAACAGAGTGAGACTCTGTCTCAGAAAAAAAAAAAAAAAGGTGTATTGGTGATGCTCCTAAGGCAGCTGATAATGCACACAGATAAAAACAACCACTCAATTCATAGTGCTGAGGAGAATGTTTATGTGACCAAGGTACTTTTAGACATCAGGCCTTAGATGGACACAACATTAGAAAATGACTTATTTTTGGGGTTTTAAGGAAAGTTCAAAATTTAATGTAAACTAGATACAAATGATTAAGCATTGCCTATATTTTCTATTTCTGGATAATCAGTACTACTTGCAATAATAAGTAAACCAAAAATAGCACCATTTTATAAAGACATGAAACTTGATTCTCCTTTCATTTGCCTCACGCAATAATAATCGCTTTGCCCTGGTCAGGTGCAGTGGCTTATGCCTGTAATCCCAACACTTTGGGAGGCTGAGGCAGGAGGATTGCTTGGGCCTGGAGTTCAAGACCTTCCTGAGCAATAAGGGGAGACCCTGTCTGCAGGAAAAAATCAAAAACTAGCTAGGCATGGTGATGTGTGCCTGTGGTCCCAGCCACTTGGGAGGTTGAACTGGGAAGATTGCTTGAGCCAAGGAGTTCGGGGTTTCAGCAAGCCATGATTGTGCCACTGCACTCAGCCTGGGGGACAGAATAAGACCCTGTCTCAAAAAAGAAAAGTCACTTTGCCCTATAAACAAAGTTGAAAATGGAACAAGTCATGGACATAGTAATTAACATCATCAATGGGAGATGCTCCCTTGGCTAGAATCACAGATAGTTCAATGCCTGATGAACTGAATGTACAATGTGGCACTCTATTATACTACATAGGGAGTAAGTAACTTGAGCATGGTATGGTGCTGAAGAGATTTTCTTTGTTTGAATAATTGAAAGAAATTGCACTGTTTGTGTCATCCAAACAAAACTTTCCACCTCAGCTCACTAGCAAAGGTTGGATTGAAAGCTTAGCCTTTTTGGCAGGGCATTCACAGCTGGCCACGCAAATGTATAATTTGATTGGCTCATTCTCAGTCAAAATTATTGATTTGGAAGTATAATTTGGCAAACAACAATCTGGCCAATTTTCCTGTTGAACTAGGTTTCCAGAAATAAAAGCCATGGCCTCAACTGCATTCTCAATATTATAAGAATTAAAAACTGGATTCTAAAAATTCTTATTGAATTTCAAATTTTATGAAAACAAGAGAACTTTATTCAGCTGACCTCTCTCAATTAGTCTTGATGGTGTAAACATGGTGCTAAGAATGGAAGGCACCACACTGCAAAATGCAGTGACACAGCAGAGGTGCCAATGCAGGCTGCAGCTCACTGTGCATAGGCAGGTTACAAGTATGCAAAATATTCCATCAATGCCCTCACCACTGGGATAGCCAACCATATACCCACCCAGTTTGCCATATAAGTATTATTTTCTTTTTGCCTTGACATACAACAGATTGGAATGCACTACAAAACTATATTGGAAAGCAAATAAATTTTTAAAATATGCAGTTAGACGTGCATATGTAAGCCTGGGGAACAAAGTGAGACCCTGTCAAAAAACCAAAAAAAAAAAATTCACCAGGTGTAGTGGCATGCACCTGTAATCCCAGCTACTTGGGAGGCTAAGATAATAAGATTGCTTGAGCTCAGGAGATAAAGGCTACAGAGAGCTATGATCATGCCACTGCACTCCAGGTTAGGTGACAGAATGAGACTCTGTCCCCAGAAACAAACAAAAAAAGAAGTGTGTATGTTTTGAACAGCTGTCTTCCATTATAAAATGAAGAAAAAGAATATTGCTTCCAGTTTTAAGGGTGATGTTTCTGTTGCACATTGTAGTATAAAATCCACATCCTGCCACTGACATTTCATATCACAGTGCCAATTCCATACCACAGGAGTAATTCATTACAGAAGAAAAATTGTAGGTCAGGCGCAATGGCTCACACCTGAAATACCAGCACTTTGGGAGGCCAAGGTGGGCAGATCACTTGAGGCCAGGAGTTTGAGACCAGCCTAGCAAACAAGGTGAAATCTCGTCTCTACTAAAAACACAAAAATTAGTGGGGTATAGTGGTACATGCTTGCAATCCCAGCTATTTGGGAGGCTAAGGCACAATAATCACTTGAACCTGGGAGGCAGAGGTTGCAGTGAGCTGAGATCGTGCCACTGCACTCCAGACTGGGCAACAGAGCAAGACTCCATCTCAAAAAAAAGAAAAAGAAGAAAAAGAAAAATTTTATGATTAAATATTGCTATTTTTACATTTGGAATCTCTAACATCAGAACACACAACAGTACAACATGTCAACATGTTTTTATTTTTACATCCTTTAGTAAATATACACAACATGTGATAGTATCTCTACAATGTTTTTACACCTGACCCTCTGTTCAAAGTATTTCATAAACAAAGAAACTTGCTCAGAAAAGTAACTTGCCTCCAAGTTAGCAAAGCTGGTAAATAAGGAATCAAGAAATTGAAAACAGGTCAGTTTGATTCCAGGAGCAGTAACTTAAACCAATGCACACTGTAATGACTCCAATTTGACCAGAAGATCAAAACTGGAGGGGAAAAAAGGGAACTTAATGACTAAATTTTTATGAAGCTCATAGTTTAACTATAGTTTGGGAACTACAGTGAAAATATGTGGAAAACATTTAGAGGGCACAGCTTGGTCTGCAGGTATCCAGAGTATTGTTAAACTTTTTGAAAATACGAACTAAAACTTACTCGTGGAGTGGATGACAAGCTCTGAACAACGAACACCACAGGGTTGCCTGCATTCTTAATGGCCTCAACTGCTTCGCTGTGTGAGGCATTCTGCAAATCTACTCCAGACACCTGAAACACAGGAGCAACTTATTTCAATTAGACCAGCATTAGATATTGCAGATAGGTTAATTCAAAGTTCATGTGTATTACCTAGTTATGAGAACAACCAGAGTCTAAGGAGTTAGACCACAGTCAGAAAAAAATAAGATTGGCCCATAAAAGGCTTGGCTATTTTAGGAGAACATGTTTAAGGAAAGTAACATTTCACCTTTAGAAAAGTAGATAAGTCAAATATATTAATAAAAACAGCCCGGTTAAATATAATTATCCAAAACAGGTAGTTCGGACAGTAACAGAACCTTAAGATGTCTGCCACCTCTGCCAGGAGCATAGTACATAATTCCGAGTGGGATAAAGGAGGCTGGGAATATCTATGGACTTTTATCATCTCTCCATTAAGCTGAGAGGCATAATATTTTAAGCAAATCGCCTGTTACCACAATTGAGTAGTTGAACATTTCTCAAATTATGTTTAAAAAGAAGTACCAAAAAACATCCACAAGTTCTTTTACTAAAACTATTTATGTGTTCAATAAATTTGAGTAAGTGTAAACAGTTCCTTATTATAGAAATTTCAGAGAATGTAACTTGCTAACATGCCCATAAATGTCCAAGAGCACTCTGCATTTCCAAAACATGTTTAACAGAACTAAGTTTTCACATCTATAATGTAACAAAGCCTTGGTAAATGCTGGGATGGTCTATGGTCTCAATAGATACTAACAATTTGTGAAGACTGGTTTGCTATTAGAGGACCGAGGAAACAGGAATGTGGGTGGAGAGGGATGTGGGATGTTTTTAAGACGGGAGGAAATATTACAGCAATAATGATACAGTGTAGAGAAAAAAATGGATGATAAAGGAGAGACATGACAACTGTAAGGACAATATCCTTGGATAGTCAAGAGGAAATGATTCCTACCGTACAAGTTAGAGAGATTGGCTTTGGATAGAAGCACAAATGTAATTCCTTTGCTGTTACAGAGGCAATTAGAAAAAAGATTTGGTGAGCACTGGAAGCAGGGGAAGTTCCCTTTAACTGCCTCTATTTTCTCAATGAAACCTGAAACCAGGACCTTAAACTGAGAGCAAGACTAAGTTAAGAGGCATAAGGAGTTTGGCACAGTTACCTGTCATATTAGTTTGTTCTCACACTGCTATAAAGAACTGCGTAACACTAGGTAATTTATAAAGGAAAGAGGTTTAATTATCTCATGGTTCTGTATGGCTGGGGAGGCTTCAGGAAACTTACAATCATAGTGGAAGGGGAAGCAAACACATGGCAGGAAGGGGAAGTGCCAAGAAAAGGGGGAAAAGTTCCTTGTAAAATCATCAGATCTTGTAAGAACTCACTCACCATCACAAGAACAGCAGAGCAGGGGTAACCACCCCCATGATTCAATTACCTCCCACTGGGTCCCTCCCATGACATGTGGGGATTTTGGTAACTACAATTCAAGATGAGATTTGGGTGAGGACACAGTCAAGTCATATCACTTATAAAAACTGGAGACTGAACCAGCTAGGAGAAAATTACAGGACAGCAGGGCAAAACTAAAGACCCGCTTAAGGGGGTGCTCATGAGCTTCTAATGAGACCAGATACCATGGCTGGTTATTTTTCCAGCCATGCTAGAGACCTGGAATAAGCAGAGCTGCACTTAACTAGGGGGTTCTCCCAGACAAGTTCAGTGAAAGGAAAGAGGATCAAGAGTAGGAAGCACATGCAAGGGAGGGGTTGGAGCTGCCAACCACTGAACTTGAGTAGGCTGAGGAGGAAGTGAGCACATGAGAAGCTGAGGACACAGATGTGTGTGCCTGTGGTATAATATGAGATGTCCTTGTTCTTGTCACAGAGTACCCTTGGAGTTTCCTGAGTGGTAGGAGTGTCTTTTGTTATGCATTAACAGCCCCTTTCACATGTGAGTTCATGCTACTGAGGTGGCTTAGGGTAAATCCCCCGGATATCCTCGGGATGGGGCCAGTCACAGAAAGACTAAAGGATTAGAGAATCCCTGCACTCCCCCCACGATCTCCAAGAAGTGAGGGTGGGGGCTAGAGATGAAGCTCTGTAAAAACCCTTGAACAACAAGATTTGATGAGCTTCTGGGTTGTTGAACATGTCGACATGCTGGAAGGGTGGCAGGTAGTACACCCAGTGTGTGGATGCTCTGTGCCCTCCTCCTCACGCTTTGCCCTATGCATCTCTTCATCTGGCTGTCCATCTGTAACCTTTGTATAACCAGTAAATATAAGTAAGTGTTTCTCTGAGCTGCCCTAGTAAATTAACAAAATTCAGGGGGAGGGATGTGGGAATTCTGGTTTGTAGCCAGCTGGTCAGAAGTATAGGTGACAACCTACTAAGATTGGCGTCTGACATGGGGGCAATCTTGTGGGAGCAAGCCCTCAACTGTATGATCTGATGCTATATCCAAGTACATAGTATCGGAATTGAATTAAATTATAAGACAGTTGGTGTCCGCTGGGGATCTGACACTATCTCCAGATACATAGTATCGGAATTGAACAGAATGGTAAGATATCCAGTTGGTGTCCACTGGAGAACTGCTTAGTGTATGGGGGAAACTCCTACACATCTGGTGACATCTAGTGTTCTGAGTGTGAGAGTAAAGGGAAAAGGTTGGTAAGAATATGGAGAAACTTAAACACTGCTGGTATGAATGTAAAACGGTATAGCCAGTCACTCTGGAAAAGAGTTTGACAATTCTATTCAAAACCAAAAGTAAAATTACCATAAAACTCAGTAATTGCACCCTTGGGTATTTATCCTAGAGAAATGTAGACTTACTTTCACTCAGGAATTTGTACACAAATATTTAGAGCAGATTTATTTGTAATAGTCAATAATTAAAAACTACCCAAGTGTCTTTCAGTGGGTGAATGATTAAACAAATTGGTACATCCATATTATGAAATGCCACTGCTATGGTTGGAATTTATGTGTCCTTCACAATTCGTATCTTGAAATCCTAACCTCTAAAGTGAAGGTATTAGGAGGTAGGTAGGGCCTTTACAAAGGGATTAGGTCACGAGGGCTCTGCCCTCAAGAATGGGATTAGTGGCCTTATAAAAGAGACGCAAGATAGCTAGCTCATCCCTTCTACTATGTGAGGACACAGTGAGAAGGGCATCTCTGGCCCCACAGAAAACAGGTCCTCACCAGACACTGAATCTGCCAATGCCTTGATCTTGGAGTTCCCAGCCTTCAAAACTATAATGGAATTTCTATGTTTATGGTATTTTGTTTTGGCAGCCTGAATTTCCAAAGACAACTACTCAACAAAAAGGAAGAAAGTGGTAGTTTATTTGTAGAGAGAGGGTCTCATTATGTTGCCCAAGCAAATCTTGAACTCTTGGACTCAATTCATTCTCTTGCCTCCGCCTCCCAAAGTGCTGGGATTACAGGTGTGAGCCACCTCACCCAGCCATAGGAATGAACTATTAATGTGTACAACAAATTGAAAGAACCTCAAGGAGATTATGCTAAGTAAAAAAAGGCAATCTCAAAAAAACACATAATGCATAATTGCATTTATGAGATAATAGTGAAATAACATTTATAGACATCAACAAACAGAAAACTGGTTGACAGAAGTTAGGGATGGGAGAGAAAGGGAAGAGGCAATCGAAAGTGAAGAAGGTGCCTGCTTCTCTTTCAACTATGATTATAAGTTTCCTGAGGCCTCCCCAGCAATGCGGAACTGTCAGTCAATTTAACCTCTTTCTTTCATAAATTATCCACTCTCAGGTATTTCTTCATAGCAGTTGAGAACGGACTAATACAGAAGGGTAATGCAAGGGAGTTCTGTGGTGATGACACAGTTGAGTTTCTCAATCGTGGTGGTGCATATGCAAGGTTTTACATGTGATAAAACTGTATAGAGCTACAAACACACACACAAATCAATGCATGCATAACTGGTGAAATCTGAATAAACTACGGATTGAGTCAATGTCATTTTCTTGGTGTTGCTATTATAGTATAGTTGTATAAGATATTAAAATTGGAGGTGACTGAGTGAAGGTTACATGGGACTTCCCCATATACTTCTTTGTAATTTCCTATGAATTTATGATGATTTCAAAATACATTAAGAAAACTATAATACAAAAATAAATATTAAAAAATTAAATTATAATAGATCAGTAATCAAAGTAAAAGTGAATTCACCTCACTTATTTTCTAGATGATTGAATTAAAAAAACAAAATTTAGTTATATGTTGCTCATGCCTGTAATCCCAGCACTTTGGGAGGCTGAGGTGGGCAGATCACCTGAGGTCAGGAGTTCGAGATCAGCCTGAACAACATGGCAAAACCCCCATCTCTACCAAAACATACAAAAATTAGCCAGGCAAGGTAGTGGGCGCCTGTAATCCCAGGAGGCTGAGGCAGGAGAATTGCTTGAACTTGGGAGATGGAGGCTGCAGTGAGCCGAGATACTGCCACTGCACTCTAGCCTGGGTGACAGAGAGAGATGCCATTTCAAAAAAAAAGCAAAGTACCATGTAAATTAATAACTAAAATAAAACAGGGTTACCAATATTAATAAAATAGAATTTAAGGTAAAAAGTAACTAATAGGAATAAAGAGGAAAACTACATAATGTCAAAAGCAAATCACCAACAAATCCACTAAAAACAGCAAAACCAACAGAATTACAAAGAATAGCAAACAAATCCATAATCACAGTGGGAGACAAACTTTAACTGAAACTGAGGAAAAAGACCAAAAAATTAGTAAGAATATGGGACTCCTTATTTGTTTATCTAAATGACTATCACTATATGGATGTCAAATAGGCATCTTAGCCTAACATGTCTAAAACGTATCTCCCCAAATCTGTTCCTCCCACAGTCTTCCCCATCTCAGCAAATGGAAATTCCATCTTCAATTTCTCAAGCTGAAAAGCTTTTCAATTATCTTTGCCACTTTATTCGCATCCATTCCGTTAGTAAGTCCTATTATTCACCTGCAAAATATGCTACAACCTGACTGCCCTCCTCTGGTCCAGGCCGCCATTCTTTCTCTCCTAAGTTACTGCAACAGCCTTCTGGCTGAGGCCCCTGCTTCCATCCCCGCCCCCGAAGCCAGAATACTCCCTTGAAACAATACTTACCTGCTCATAATTCTCCAGTGACTCTCCACTGCATTCAGAGCAGAAGACCTTCCAGAGCTTTCAGGCTCTACATGATGTGGCTTCCCACCACTCCTCAGCCCTTTTCTCTTACCCCTTCTGGCTTGTTCACGCTATGCTATCATTGCTGGACTTCCTGCTACTCCTTGAACACATCTAGGCAAGCTCCTACCTCGGAGCTTTTGCATGTTTTTCTTCCTCCACATATCCATATGGCTGACTCTCTCATTTCCTCTATTTGTCCCAATATCATCTTCCATAACAAAGCTATTAAAAGTGCGACTATTGCTTTCACCATCCCCCTGAACCCGACGCTCCTTATCCTCCTCCCCTGCTTTATTTTGTTTCCTAGCTACTTATTACAATCTGACGTTCTACATATACTTATTTATTTTATTGTCTATTCTCCCATTCCCACTATCATGTAAACACCATAAGGGAAGGGACTTTTGGTCATTTTCTTCATTGCCATTAGTAGTATATTTGAAAATTGTTTTAAACATTGCACAGCACAAATATAACTCAATATTTGTATATACAGAGCAGCTTTTATGTAGTTCTTTAATTTAATCCTCACAATAATGCTATCAATTTTGAATTCTCATTTCCATTTTATCTGAAAACAAAATAAGTAGGTCTAATGATTTGTCCAAAAACACATAGAAAATAAAAAGGACAGACTCCGACTCCAACCCATGATATCCAGGGCTCTTTGTATTCTACCAGAGGTGAAACACCATGATTGATGGTTAGCATCATAAAGAATGAATCAAGAACAAGCAGATTATGGGATTAAAGGTACCCACCATGGTGTCACCCAATTCACCCAATGGAAAGAAATGTATCACATTCACACCTCAGGGCATTCTCAGTGGTTTCATGTGCCTTTTTTTTTCTGCTTTGAGACAACAGTGTCGCTCTGTCACCCAGGCTAGAGGGCAGTCCAATCTTGGCTCACTGCAACCTCCACCTCCAGGGTTCCAGCAATTCTCCTGTCTCAGCCTCCTGAGTAGCTGGGAATATAGGCGTGTGCCACTATGCCAGGCTAATTTTTGCATTTTTAGTAGATGGGGTTTCACCATGTTGGCCAAGCTGCTCTCAAACTCCTGATCTCAAGTGATGTGCCCGTCTCGGCCTCCCAAAGTGCTAGAATTATAGGCATGAGTCACCATGCTTGGCCTGATGTGTCTTTAAAACTTAGCGCCCACGAAGCATATCAGGTGCAAATCATGGATCCTCCCCGCTCAATAGTCTTCAATCTTCCAGGGTCAATTTCTTTCTCTAAACAAGCATAGATATCCTACTAACACACAATTATAAAATTTAGAGCTTCAAGAAAAAAATTTATAGCTTGTTAAAGAATGTGGGAGAAGCATAATGCCTACCATCTGCCCTGTTCTATATAGAGCCCTTTGTTAGTTAAAGTGTTTTTTGCAATCAGCTGAAGTTTTTCTTTTATCATTTTATTTGTTTACCCCCAACCCCACTCACTTGAGAAACTCATAAATTGTGCATACAATGTACAAACTAAGGCATATAAATAGAGCACACCGACTGTACATACACAGTCCCCAACACATAAAGAAAGGTCTTCGAGCTAAATGATTATTTCACTAGCTTACAGTATGTTTCCAATAAAAACAGTACTTTAACATCATTTACCTCAAGTATTTTATCTCCAGTTTTAAGTGCGTTTGTTTTCCCTGCTGGACTGTCTTCTAAAACTTGTTTGATGAATATACCTTTAAGTTCCTCTCCATTCTTTAGACGTTTTATAACAGTTTGTCCACCAACAATACTGATCCCAAGAGACACATTGGGTTCTCTAAAAATCTCAACACTATATAAAGGAAAAAAACAAAACTCACTTATTAACAAGTTTAATCTGTTGGACTGTAAGTATTCCATTTGTATTATATCCTTGTGACTCATATATAAATTTTTGAAATATATTTTTACAAATGTTATACAAATTATACCTAGTTCCAATGTTATCAATAATTCATAACAAGTGAAAGCTTCAGTTCTGAAGAGCATAGATTTCTAGAACAATAAATATAACTCTAAATATTCAGTGAAGGTTTAGCTAAGCCCTAATGTTCCCATCTCCTATCATATTTTCTGTGATTAGTCCTTTTCATTTATATCCATAACATAAGCAAAGAAAGGACTGAAGAAATAACAAATGGGCAAGACAAAAAATCAAGAAAGCTACATATGTCATTTCGGCAAAAGGTACAGACTTTCAGAATAAAATCAATTTGACACTGAGTGGCTCCTTGTCCACGTTGCTTTTCCCAGTCAGCAGGTTTATCTCTGTGGTTCTTTAATCAGAGGACAGATTTTACCTGCTCCTAAGGTCACAAGGTTTTGTTTTCTTCCTACCTCCATGTCATTATTTAAAAGAAAGTATGAAATGAAAACTGCCCCCCTCAAAATATTATAGGTTTTGCATTGCAGCCAATAATTAACTCATTAAAAACGTAACTCAGAAAACAACTCTTAAATGTTTTAAGACAAATTCAGATTTCAATTACAAGAAAAGAACCAGTTTGGGTGGAGGTGGTGGAATTAGTAATAGATACGGAATAGAGAGAGCAGCTAAAGGGAGACTTTCATCATCTTAAAGTGCAGCCCTGGTGGGGACTTAAAATTACAGCAACTGGTGAGTATTTAAAACTTCCCCCACATCCAAGGGAAGATGGGTTTTCCACACATTCTGTTAGCACAAACATGGACTCTCCACCAGGGGAGGAAGGTAGAGATAAACTGATATATACTAGAAGCCTCAACTACCGTTATTGTTGTTTACCAAAAAAGAAAGTTTTACTGCATTCAAGGCAGCTTTACCCAACTTGCTTAAGGACATAGTGATAAACTATACTTGTTAGATGGACATTTCTACGTTGCTTTCTCTGAAAGAGTATCAAAGATGTTCCTAATATTAGTTATAGTCGTTTCGTTCGGCTAAAAATCTCTAGATAAGATAAAATGAAACTAAAATGTAGACCAGCTTACAGGTGAATTATCACAATTTTTCAATCATTAGAGTAGGACTAAATGATGTTCTGTTAAGTTAAAGAAAAGAGTAACTGGTTGTGCTCCTATTGAGAAAGCCAGTAATGTCATCCACATACATTCTCGGTGGACCCCAGTGGCTAAAATTGGGAGTTTCTTCTCCTTCGCCCTCTTCTCTCTCAGGTAACTCACTACAGAGGGAGAAAGAAAAAAATACACACAATTTTAAGGCACAATCATTATTAAGGTCCTTGGAAAGTTTTGAAATTGTAAAATCTATAGGTAGTTAAATGATTCTCAATTTTTAAATTTTTAAAATATTTACATCAATAAATATGCAAAGCAAAAATATACTGCTTTAACATTCAACTCAACTAATCCCCACCCAGCATTAGAAAATCACAGAATTATTACAAACACTTTTATTGGTGACACTCTAGATGCTAAAAGTTTGTGTTTGATTTGTGCAATTTCAAATTTGTTTCTCTATCAATATGTAAAATGTTATAAAATGTATTCCTTAAAACTTGGTATTGTTTGACCAGCTAAAACACAGAAATCGACAAGTATCATATGTATCAAGTATAAATCAACATGAACAGGTCAATAAGATCTGTCTTTCTAGCCCTAAATATTTCCCCTGTCATTTGTATCCCATGAATATTTTGCATACTTATAGGGAACTTTTCAGTTACTTATATCATCTAAAATGATCCTCACTGCTTCCCACCTACCACCACTTTTCATCCAGCAAGTTAAGTTAGTATAGAACTACTGAACTGAACATTGTTGAAACCCGGTCTCTACAAAAAAATCAGCTGTGCATTGGTGGCACATGCCTGTAGTCCCAGCTACTTGGGAGGCTGAGGCTGGAAGATTGCTTGAGCCTGGAAAGTCAAGACTGCAGTGAGTCATGTTTGTGCCACTGCACTTCAGCCTAGGTGACAAAGCAAGACCCTGTTTCAAAATAAAAAAAAGAACTGCTGAACCGGATAATGTAAAATGCTGAGTTACAGAGTATTTAGTTATAAGATTAATGCAATAGTGAATAGACAGTGCAGTATATTATCTGGAAGAGAAATCAGAAGTCCTAAGCTCAAGTCTAACTTATACCATGAAATAGGTGTGTGGCTTTGGACCACTAAATGAAATCAGTCTGATGTTGTAAATTGTATTACTCTACACAAAAAACTAGGTGCTATCTCTTCCACTTCATTTTCATAAAAACCCTTGGCCAGGTGTGGTGGCTCATGGCTATAATCCCAGGGCTTTGGGAGGTTAAGGCAGGAGGATCACTTGAGCCCAGGAGTTTAAGACCAACCTGGACAACACCGTGAGACCCCATCTCTAAAAAAAAAAAAAAAAAAAAATTAGCTAGGCATGGTGGCACACCTGTAGTACCAGCTACTGACTGGGGACGCTGGGGCAGGAGGATCATTTGAGATCAGGAGCTCAAAGCTGTAGTGAGCTATAATCACACCACTATTCTCCAGCCTGGGCAACAGAGCAAGACTCTGTCTCAAAAACAAAAATCCCTCTAACCTACAAAGTAAGCACAGCAGATCACATTATATTTTACACAGGAGGAACTGAAGCTCAGAGAAGGCTTAAGCATACTATACAACCTCACAACCTTTCCTCATGTATCCAAATCTGTTTTAGCCCTAAGTTTCAATACTCCCATTTTTCTCTGAACTTTCAAGTAAGTCCTATAAAATGCAGCAAAACTCCACCTTCTTGGCCCTCTAGAGACTTAGTATCTAGGATAAAAGCATTGTAAGGCCATGTGAAAAGGAGAAGGCTGAAAGGATCTAGACAAGCCAAATATCAGTTAAGAAATTAGGATCGTTACATCTCGCCCAGATGTCTTTCTTACCTTAGCCAGTCTAATTTTTATGATTAAAAGCATCACAGCATTCAGGGGAAAATAACGTGGCAGACACTTGCTGGTTACTTTCTAATGTCTTTTTTTCCCCTTCTTCCATAAATACATAACCCCTCTTCTATTCTAGGTGGCACTATGCCCAGGTTTGAAAAAAATACATTTTCTGGACTTTCTTTCAGCTAATGGGAACTGTGTGCCACACTGCTGATCAGTGATATGGAACCAAAAGTACCTAGATGAGACTTCCAGGAAAACTCATTAAAAGGAAGGAGAATCAGCTGGCAGGAGCCTTTTGCTCTGTGCCCTCCCCTTCTTCTTGCCTAGAATTCACAGGTGATATTGGTGGTAAAACATTCATCTTCAAATCATACAGAAACAATGAGGAGTAAGGTCATACATTAAGGGCAGCAGAGCAGAAAGGACGAAGGTATTTAAGACCCTGATGACAACAGCACCACACCATCCTAAGACCACCTTCTTCAGGACTTTTCACATGAAAAAAATTTGCCTTTATTTGGTTAAGTCACACTAAATGGGGTTTCTGTTTATGAGTATGTAACTGTAATCCCTCAATGATATACCCACAGTTCCACCAATTCAAGTAAACTGTTTTCACTTTAACCTATCACATTCTTGTTCTTTGCAACTAGATTATCATTAGACAACTGTAATCATAGCACCAACTGTCCTATTTTGATGATCTTATGTAATAACAACAAGGATTAAATTAGATATTAACTGAGGCTCAACCAATATTCATTTCCTCTATAATTTTTTTCACTTGAACTTATAACAAAAATCTACCCACACAGTATCATAATCTTCATCATTTTTTATTTACTAGTACCTTAATAGGCCATTGTATTGATGTAATTTATCTGCTATCTCAATATATGATGCACTTAGATTGTGTATTAGTCCATTTTCACACTGCTATGAAGATACTACCTGAGACTGGGTAATTTAAAAAGAAATGAAGTTTAATTGACTAACAGCTTCACATGGCTGGGGAAGCTTCAGGAAACTCACAACCATAGCAGAAGGTAAGGGGAAGGAAGGTATACATGGCAGCAGGAGAGAGAGAGTGCACAGGGGAAACTGCCACTTTTAAATCACCAGATCTCATGAGAACTCCCTCACTCTCATGAGAACAACATGTGAAAACTTCACCCATGATCCAATCACCTCCCACCAGGTCCCTCACCTGACACATGGGAAATACGATTTGAGATGAAATTTGGGTGGGTACACGGAGCCAAATCATAACATTCCACCTTGGCCCCTTCCAACTCTCATGTCCTTTTCACATTTCAAAAACAATCATGCCTTCCCAACAGTCTCCTAAAGTCTCAACTCCTTTAAGCATTAACCCAAAAGTCCAAGTCCAAAGTCTCATCTCAGACAAGCCAAGTCCTTTCTACCTAGAAGCCTGTAAAATCAAAAACAAGTTAGTTATTCCCAAGATACAATGGGGGTACAGGCATTGGGTAAATGTTTTCATTCTTAATGTTCTCCAAATGGGAGAAATTGGCCAAAACAAAGGGGCCACAGGCCGCATGTATGTCCAAAACCTAGTGGGGTAGTCATTAATTTTTTTTTTTTTTTTTTGAGATGGAGTCTTCCTCTGTCACCCAGGACGGAGTGCAGTGGCACAATCTTGGCTCACTGCAACCTCCACCTCCCAGTTCAAGCAATTCTCCTGACTCAGCCTCCCAAGTAGCTGGGCTTTCAGGTGTGCACCACCACACCTGGCTAATTTTTGTATTTTTAGTAGAGACAGGGTTTCACTACATTGGTCAGGCTGGTTTCAAACTTCTGACCTCAGGTGATTTGCCTGCCTCAGCCTCCCAAAGTCCTGGGATTACAGGCATGAGCTACCGCCTAGTCATAGTCATTAAATCTTAAAGCTCCAAAATGATCTCCCTTGACTCCATGTCTCACATCCAAGAAACACTGATGCAAGGGGTGGGTTCCCAAGGCCTTGGGCAGCTCTGCCCCTGTGGCTCCGCAGGGTACAGCCCCCATGGTTGCTTTCACAAGCTGGAGGTGAGTGCCTGCAGCTTTTCCAGCTGCATGTGCAAGCTGCCAGTGGAGATACCATTCTGGGGTCTGGAATATGATGGTTGTCCTCTTCTCACTGCTCCACAAGGCAGTGCCCCCATGGGGACTCCATTTGGGGGCTTCAACCCCACATTTCTCCTCTGCATTGCCCTGGTAGAGATTCTCCATGAGGGCTCTGCCCCTGAGCTGACTTCTGCCTGGACATCCAGACATTTTCATATATCCTCTGAAATCTAGGCAGAGGCTCCCAAAGCTCAACTCTTGTCTTCTGTGCACCCTCAGGCCCACCACCACATGGATGCTGCCAAGGCTTGGAGCTTGTACCCTCTGAAGCAAGAGCCCGAGCTGTACCTTGGCCCCTTTTAGCCACAGCTGGAGCTGGAGCAGCTGGAATGCAGGGTACAAAGTACCAAGGCTGCACAGAGTAGCAGGGCCTTAGGCCTAGCCCGCAAAACCATTTTTCACTCCTAGGCCTCCGGGATTGTGGTGGGAGGGGCTGCACAAAGATCTCTGACATGCCCTAGAGATATTTTCCCCATTATCTTGGCTATTAACATTCAGTTCCTTGTTACTTATGCAAATTTCTGCAGCCAGATTGAATTCCTCCCCAGAAAATGGGTTTTTCTTTTCTACCACATGGTCAGGCTGCAAATTTTGTACACCTTTATGCTCTGCTTCCTTTTTAAATATAAGTTCCAATTTCAAACCATCTCTTTGTGAACACATATGATTCAATGCTTTCAGAAAAAGCCAGGTCACCTCTTCAATGCTTTGCTGCTTAGAAATTTCTTCCGCCAGATACCCTAAATCATCTCTCTCAAGTTCAAAGTTCCACAGATCTCTAAGGCACGGGCAAAATGCTGCCAGTCTTTTTGCTAAAGCATAGCAAGAGTGACCTTTGCTCCACTTCCCAATAAATTCCTCGTCTTCATCTGAGACCAACCCAGCCTGGACTTCATTGTCCATATCACCATCAGCATTTTGGTCAAAAGTATTCAACAAGTCTCTAGGAAGTTCCAAACTTTCCCACATCTTTCTGTCTGCTTCTGAGCCCTCCAAATCATTCCAACCTCTCCCTATTAGGCAGTTCCAAAGTCACTTCTACATTTTCAGGTTATCTTTATAGCAGTACTTCACTCTGCTGGGACCAATTCTCTATATTAGTCCATTATCACACTGTATAAAGATACTACCTGAGACTGGGTAATTTATAAAGAAAAGAGCTTTAATTTACTCACAGTGCCA